TATAAATGGGGGATTCATCTAACATTTTTACTGAGCATCAACTATGTAAAAAGTATACAAAGTATCAGCAAGTTCATAGCTGATGAATGTATTACAGACTTGAGAAGAAAAATGTTTGCTTCCATCTTCAAGTTAGACCACAAGTCCTTATGCAGTTTAACCAAGAGCCAAACTGCCCTAGCACGTATCTGCTTAGGCGTGTCTGAAAAAATTTAGAAGTGGGCTCAGAATCTGGACTACCAAACAGTCATTCAGAGGGGAAAGCCTGACTTAAGTCAGTAAGATTTGTAAACACAGAAATTTAGAAAACAGGTAAATTAGGAAGTGGCTATTGAAATTCAGAAGAATTCTTTACACCACCAGGTTTCCTTAAAATTCAATAGACTCTATCAAAAGGAAGATAAAACCGATAAAAATTCAATGAAATTAGTCAGAAACGCAGCCATTACAGCTTTGCTTTCCTTTCAGATTTAGTCAGTAAGGCCAGCAGCAGAATGCAGTCCACTTTCTTACTTTCTTTGACTCCCAGGACAAAGGCAGTGAGCCAACAGATAGATTTGGTTGAGCCCTTTAGAGTGAGAAAGAAGCGAGGTGCTCTGTTATCTTGTCCAGAGCCTTCTACAGAGGCAGAGCAGGGGGCTGCCCTTACTGCCCCACCATTCCTATAAAGCTTGTTCCATATGGATAATTGAGGCCTGAAAGTTCTTTAAGTAGGTAAAGATTTTTAGACGATAATTAGAGATAAGGCTTAGAAGGTAAACATCTTAGGGCAATTTAACACTTTGCCTTGAATTCACAAGAGGCTATAGTAACTGCTCTCAGGAACCTCTATGGAGAAGAGGTTTGGTTAGGGGGATAGGCAATGGCTGAAAACGGGGTGGGTGCTTTGGTGGGAGCTGGGAGAAGAAGGGGTGCTAGGTAGAAATTAAGTTAGAAGTTCACTTCTCGGAATCAAGGGGCTCTAGCAACTTAAAAATAGTTCATTACACTTAGCTTTTGTCTGGTTATTTATAGAATCAAATGAAAAGAGTTTCAATGCCCAAAAGCACACTCACCAAATGTGATTCATTCTGAGAGGGCCTAAAATCAGATGCTAACTTATATAACAATACATGAAACAAGCTGTCTGACTTCTTTTTTTTTAAGTGCTTTGTTTTATTTATTATTGTATTATTTAATTATTTTATTTTGGTAGGGGGAAGTAACTAGGTCTATTTATTTTAAGAGGAAGTAGTGGGGATTGAACCCAGAACCTCATGCATGCTAAGCAAGCACTCTACCACTTGAGCTATACCCTCCCCTCTAAGGTATCTTACTTCTAACCAAGTTGAGAGTTTCAAAATCTGTGTATTATATTTCACCATTTATAAGGAGCACTTTTTTTTCACCATTCAACATCTCTGAAATAGATGCATCTTAATAACCAATAGTTTGTCACAGTTTTATTGGCAACATTTTATTTTCTGTTACAAGGTGGCACATAAAATAAATGTGCCTCTTACAATTGATGGCATCTTATACCCAATGAATTATGGCAGCAAGTTTACTTGGAATGAGGGATACTTCATTCTGGGACTAACTTAAAAAAAATGAGAATTGTCTGCAAAGTTCTCAAAATGCATGTGCCCTGCATGCTTCCTGCATCAGCAAAGAACAAACTTCCCACAAAACTATTTCATGTGTGTTGTTATTAAAAAAGTGAGTGTAAATTCAAGATATAAAAAACTTTATTTTTCAATCCACCTGAAAAGACATAGGTTACAAATGTCTGAAATTAGCAGTTATCTTACAGCTCTAAAACAAGTTGGTGATGAGATTACTATTTAAGTTTTTTAAACAAGCCAGTGTTATATACCCAAGGTCTTAAAACTTAAATAAATTTAACAAGAATCAGGCAGATGTTAATTTACTATATAGTATTATGGTTCTCTTCTTTTTACTCTTGCTCATTTGTGTAGTTGTTTTAATAGTGTGTATCTGAAAAAAATTCTAAGATCATTAACTGCTGGTAGGTTTTCAACTACAGATAACATGTAATTATGATGGGAGATGACTTCTACACACATCCTAGTCTTTGAAATCATGAAATGGCTTAAAAAAAAACAGCTCTAGATCTTCTAATTGCTGGTGGATAACCCACTAAACCATCAATAATACATTCATACAATAATACTCAGTTGAGGTTCTTGGAATTTCGGGGACTAAGGAGAATACTTGGTATACGTGTTTTCTTGTTTTCATTTTAAACTATTACTTAACCTATATTACCAACACTGACTGGCACCTTGATTTAGAATGGTCATGGTTTTAAGAACAGAACATCATAAAAGAAAAAATTCAAAAGAAATAAAAAAAAAAACCCAAACACTTCTCACTTCTCACATGATTTCCCCCAACTGAAGTTGTACATGGTTGGGTACCAAAGGTCTCTATCTTCTAGCCCAATGCTAGCAGACATAAACAGAATGCTAGCCTCATGACATTTTCTAGTAGCCACATTGAAAAAGTAAAAAGAAATGTGTGAAATTAATTTTAATAACATATTTGACTCTACATATCCAAAATATCATTTCAACATGTTATCAACATACAAAATTATTGAGATAGTTTACATTCTTTTTTTTTTTCATACAAAGTCTTTGAAACTTGATGTATATCTGACACTACAGCACATCTCAGTTTGGACCAGCCGCATTTCAAGAGCTCAACTGTCCCACATGGCCCGTGGCCACCAGACGGGGCTGCATAGTTCTACACTATTTCTCCTAAACACTGACATAGACCCTGGCATACCTGCAACCCTCCTTTCCTTCTCCATTAAAAAAACTAGCTCCTCTGGCCGAGCCTCCCTCAGGCTCCCATGTCTCAAGCACTACAGTCACCCCCGTTCCTCCTCATGCAATAGCAGCCAGGATGCTCAGCACTCAGTGGGCACCTGCTCTGTGCGCCAAGCACTGATAAGGTGAGCTTTCCACACACTACCTCCTCTGTTCCTCACAACAGCCTTACAAGGTAGTAAATATTACCCTCATTAAAGATGTGACCCTGCACCACTGAGTCAGCCAGTGACAGAGGTGAGGTTCAAGGCCCAGTCAGCATGATTCCAGAGCCCGGGTCCTCCCCATGTGGCCACACTGCCGCCCAGTCCGCCCTTCTGCCCACACACAGCCATGATTTATGGCAGTGCCATCCCTGTCACCAGTAAAGGTTGGGGGCGGGGGAGTCCAGGGAACATGTGCAGAGAAAACCCAGGAGAACAATTTTTGAATAACTAAGGCATTAGCTACTCCCCGCACCCAACTCTCCTGATTAGGCAAGGGCACAAGATGAAGCAGAAGAACGGACGGCCACATTTAGCTGGACGAGAAAGCTGAAGGCAAACTTCCCACCAAGGGACTGGGAGGAGTGGAGGAAGACAGTCCTCTGGCAGGGAGGCTCTGGCTGAGGTGTCTGTGGAGCGTATTTCCAGGGCAAACCGAAGGCAGGCCAGCTGCATGCAGGGCAGAGGTCTTGAGAAGCTGACAGCCAGCTTCTTTCTCTGAGGAAACCAAGACAACACAGAAGCAGGCCAGCTACTTACTTTGAATGTGATGATACAGGTACTGAAAAAAAGGTTTAAAATTATTTAAAAAATAATTATCAAAAAGCCAGAATGGTTGAGAACATGACCTTTCTTTGAATTTCTCTCACAAAGTCCCTAGAGAAACAGTGGAATAGAGGGGAAATAGAGATGACTGGGATTCAAGAGGCTCAGAGGACCTGTGTGACTTGGCCATGTCACTTAACCTCGGAGTCTCCATTTCCCAGTTGTTAAACGGGGGTGGATTAAGCAAAAACTCCAAGGCTCCTTCAGACCCCAGACTGAGAACCTGGAGGTGACATGGTTGAAAGATACATCAGTGCCATCTAGTGGCAAAACAAGTACACTGATGATGCAAATAAAATATTTAGAATCAGTAGGTTTGAGGAACCAGGAGGAAATCAATTCAATTAGAGGCCTTAGAAATCAACTGAAAAGAGGCTGGGAAAAAAAATGAGACCTAGACAGGAAATGATATGCCTAAAGCCACAAAATGGTTCCTGGTTCCTGGCGTGCAATGAAGAGAGCGACTGTGACACTTATTAAAACTTAACAATCAAACATGAAAATGAATATACGTATAAATGGATGACTGGGACATTATATATACCAGAAACTGACTCACTGTAACTGATTATACTTCAATTAAAAATTTTTTCAATAACCCAATAATCAAAATAGAAATTGAATGGTTTGCTCTTCCGAGGTCCACCAGACAACGGGCATGGATTACTTCATGACTGCACAGTTAAGTTTTACAAGGAGGGGTACTTGAAGCACATCTGCCGTAGTTGTTATTCGCTTATGTACTACAATTTCCTTCCTTAAACTGTGGGCCTCCTACTCAAATTCCCCTCCCCCTCACGGTTTCTGTAGAATGAATGAATAATCAGTAGCTTCATTCTTTTTCACTAATTTTCCTATAGGACTGACTGACTTTTTCTGATGTCCCATATAATAAAGTGTCAAGTGTTACACTCGAATCCTGAAGCCAAGCTATTGTCTCCATTTTCTCTTTTCCACATCCCTGACTCATTCCCACAACCCCAAATGCAGATAAGTAGTTGAATGTGGCTTCATTAAACAGCAAATGACCGAAGCCAAATCCAAGAAAGATATCAACGTTGTTTGGTAGTAGCTTTTCCTAAACTGACACTCAGTTTTCATATTTAAAAAAATATATACACCACCAACTCTTTCGTAATCAAATTTC